AAGGCCCTCTCACCATCACACAACTAGATTCCACATAAAATGTAATTTAAAATTATATTGGTAGGCACATAGGAAGTAAAGGAAATCTCCAAGTGGGGGTTGGGGTGGGGGTGGGGGGGGGGAGAGGAAGGCGGAGTGAACTGAGAACAGAACTCTGAATGGTGAGCACAGAAAAGGCAGGATTTCCCAGAGGGCAAATGCTGGCAGTATTACTGAGCTAGAAAGATGAGACTACGCCCCCAAACACCTAGAAGCTGGGGGCCTGCAATGAAGACCCCCAAAGAACCCCAGGTTAAATTGGAATTCCAGGAATTGAAGTGGTCAGTTTCACCACCTGGCTTTGGCAAAAGCAAATACAAATTCTGTCTGGAGAAAAAAACCGAAAACTCAGTTTAAGCCCTTGGGCTTTTCTTATATTAAGATCAACAATGATTAGCTCACAATTGATACACAAAGAAATGTACTCCATTACTGACATCAGCAGAAACAAACAAACATTATAGACTTATACCTCCAAGAAATTCAGATATTGGAATTGTTAAAGAATAGAAAGGCACTGCATATAAAATGCTATAAAAAAGATGGGATTAAAAAACAAGCAATACCAAAAAACAAAACAAAACCCAAGCAATACTAGACTATCAAAAATGCAGACTTTACCAAGACCCAAATAGAGCTTTTAGAAATAAAAATACAATTGTTGAAATAAAACATTCAAAGGATGAATTAAATGAGAGATTTCTCTGAAGAGAGAATTTGTAAATAGGAAAAGTGGGCTGGGGGAAAAAAGCCTAGAATGCAACACAGGGAGATGAGAAGGTTGAGAGTAAGGAGGTCTAACACATATCTAATCAGAGTCACACAATGATAAAAGAAAGAGAATGGAGAAGAAGCAATGTTATCCTAATAGACAATCACGAAGAATTTTTCAGAATTGATGGAAGGCATGAATCTACAGATAAAGCACCTAGCCCAGTGCCTGGCCCTTGGTGGGTATTTGGTGAATGTCTCATTTGGTGGTAGAGGACTTCCTCTCTCAACCTTCCAGAGTCCATCGGGTGTGCTTCCACACTTCTTGGATGGTTCCACACCCTCTCAGTCTCTGGAATAGCTGCCCTGATGGTGCCCTAATGGTGGGGTGAGGGGGCAGTTCTCTCCTAGGCAGCCCTGGCTACAGTGGGAGGGGTACAGTGCTAGACCAGGTCCTCCAGCCCTAAGTGCTGACCTGTGTGTGTGGCAGAGTGAGCTCAGTGATGGCATCGCGATGCTGGTGGCGGGCAATGACCGTGTGCAAGCCGTGATCACACAGATGGAGGAGGTGTGCCAAACCATCGAGGTAAGCCTGGCTGGGAGGCAGCGAGACTTTCTGGGCTCCTGGAGGTGGATCACAAGTAACGGGATGAGCTTGGCCAGGCTGCCAGATACGAATCTCAGCTCTGCCCCTCACTAGCTCTGTGACTTTGGTCCAGTTACTTAACTTCTCTGTGCTTGGGTTTTGTTTGTTTTTGACTATGTAAAATGGTAATAATGAGACTGCTATGGCGCCTACCTCATTGGATCTTTATGAGAACTACATGTGGTAATTTAGTTCTAAATAAACAAGTAAAAACCAGGCCCAGACACATAGGCAGCACGCATGGGACTAAAGTATTGTTATTTGCTGAGAGTAGATTTGAAAGTTCTCATCACGTTAAAGGAAAGTGTAACTATGCATGACGACAGATATTAACTAGACACATTGTGGTGATCATTCCAGCATATATACAAATATGGAATCATTACATTATACACCTGAGACTTATATGGTGCTATGTGTCAATTGTATCTCAAAAAATATTGCGCTATTGTTTCTGAAAAGATCTGGGCATCAGCAGCCCTTGGCTGGAGTTCCCCCTGCCACTAATTCGGAGCGTAACTGACAAGTCACTCTTCTTTTGGGCTCCCTGTGCTTTGCACCTAGCGGGGAGCGGGGCAGTAGCCGGCGCTCTCCCCGCCATGAGAAGTCAGAGGTCACCACTCCCGTCTTTCAGGACAACAGTCGGAGGCAGAAGCAGCTGCTGAACCAGAGGTTCGAGACCCTGTGCGCGGTGCTGGAGGAGCGGAAGGGCGAGCTGCTGCAGGCGCTGGCCCGCGAGCAGGAGCAGAAGCTGCAGCGTGTCCGGGGCCTCATCCGCCAGTACGGGGACCACCTGGAGGCCTCCTCCAAGCTCGTGGAGTCCGCCATCCAGTCCATGGAGGAGCCACAGATGGCGCTCTACCTGCAGGTGGGCCCCGGGGTGGCTGGCGGGCGGCGCAGTGGCTAGAGCGGGGGCACCCGAAGGCCCGGGTTCAAGGCCGGTCTCTGGCCCCTACATGCCCCCCCGGCCTTGGGCCAGTCACCCCCTCTGAGTCCGCTTTGTGCTTAGGAATGGGGGTGTGTCCGCCTTGCCTGCAAACCCTTCGGGACTGCGGTGGGCATTCGAAGTGGGCCGTGGCCAGCGGTTGGCCCGGGCTGACTCTCGCCCTCCTTCCTCCCTTACAGCAGGCCAAGGAGCTGATCAATAAGTGAGTAGGCGGGGCGGGAGGGCGGGAAGGGGCGTGGGGGCTTCGCTGCTGCGGGAAGGGGGCGCGGGGGGAGGGTGCTGAGCGCCGCCGCGCCCCCGCTGCAGGGTCGGGGCCATGTCCAAGGTGGAGCTGGCGGGGCGGCCGGAGCCGGGCTACGAGAGCATGGAGCAGTTCTCCGTGAGCGTGGAGCACGTGCCGACATGCTGAGGACCATCGACTTCTAGCCTGGTGAGGGCGAGGGGGCGGGGAGGGGGCCAGCCGCGGGGCGGAGTGTCTCGATCCTCCTGGGGTGGGTGGCACTAGACGCCGGCCCAAACCTCGGGACCCCGCCTAAGGGGGATGCGTCGGCCAGGCGCCGCACGGGAGAAGAGTATAAGAAGTGGGCCTGAACGAGAAAAGCC